CTGGCGAATCGCGCCGATTCGCAAAGTCTAACATCGGCCTATCTGCACCACGATGCCACTGCCGTTACTGACCGTCACGAGTGCGACCATGGCCCACCTTGACAAATACGACCCTCCTGTCGAGGACTTACTCAACCGATATCCATCCTGTTACAGACTGGCGGCTAAATCTACACAAAAAAACCCTAGGGGAGTTTTTGGACTAAGTTTCCGATTATTCGTGGAGGGTTTCAGGGTCGTGCGGACCTCTCCAGCGCCAAACGATAGCACAGCACCTGGTACGTAAATATCGTTCGTCCACTCCTCGGACACGTCAAACGATCGATACACCACATCCAATGCTGTGCGACCGTTACGATCGTTACGATTGACTAACGCCTATGCATGCGCGCCTCCTTCAGGGCAGGGTCAACCCTATGTTGCGACAAGTACCAACGGGGGAGGTCGTATTCGACTGAGCTTGTGAGGGAGTCGTACTCTCTCGGAGGCCGGCAGTGGGATTCTTGGTGGACATAGATTCGAGCCACGAAACCACATATGAAACGGAAGTGTAGATGGAGTATTGCCCGAACAATGGGTAATAGCCAGCACGTTACGTTTACGCAAGATGAATTGATACTAGAGCATCTATAAACCACTTCCCTCTGAATGAGCTTTCAAATGAATCAGCGAATCAGAAGGCGCCCGAGGCGTGGCGCACACCAAGGCAGGGGATGTCAGTGCAAGCGCATGCTTTCTAACACATCCTATGTTCAACACGAAATTGCTTTCCCTGGAGGTTACCAGTGAAACCTAAAAACCCGCGTTTTCAAGAAAATGGCTTGAAGAATGCCCCTCCAAAAAAGTAACAACGGGACTAATTTTTGAACTGCTGACTTTTCAGGAACGTTTGGGTACTTTTTAGAAAGCTTGAATCCTGTAGTTTGTTATACCGTGTTCAGCTTCCCAAATGAATGAGTTTGAAGGAAGTTATGATCGTTTAAAGGCTGAAAAGTCGCGGTCGCTACCTTTTGTCTTTGGTGAGAAGTATGAATTTATCTGATATTGATTCAGGGAATTGGAGTTGTTGCCTCTAGACTCGTCATGTAACGTTGCGCTCGCAACACATTCACGCCGGTGGCAGCCCAATGCGATGCCGGTGACGGGTGCTAATGGAGGTTCATATATGCTGCCAGTTAGTAATCACATGCCACATATGTTTTTTTGAAGGAAGTTATGATCGATATAACACATGCAGGTCAATCCTTGAACTCGCAAATTCTCGTCGTACTGTTCTAAAATGTTCCTTTACACACGGTCGATCAAAAACAAGATATTTATTAACACGAGGATATGAGACAAACACAGTAATAAGGTGTGCGTTAGACTCGACTTGGAATAGCGCGAAAGTGCAATCGCGTCGCTGTCGCGATTGCACAATCGCTGAGTCTGAAGCGCATCTAAGTGGGCCATTACTTGTTGAAAAGAATTGTTCAACTTGTTTGATGAAAACGTGGAGGATAAAAATTGAATTTTTTGGTGATTATCATAGATAAACAAATTTCGACAGTCCAACCATCACCGCCCCAATCAGCGTCACCACCATAGCGACTGCAAGAATTTTAAGGTTCCGGCTACCCTGAAGATATGTAATTTAACATAACCCTCGACTATCTGTACTAATTTTGATATGGGTAGCCGCGGAAGAAAGTGGTGAACAAATTAAGTGCAAGAAAACCCCTTCTTTGTTGTTTCAGATTCGCTCACCTTGATTTCGTGAAAGTAGAGTATACTCCAAGCGGATACAACACATCCAGGAAGCATTGTGATAATCGGGAACGAAATGGCTTGGGAAAGATACTGGTTTGCGACGAAGAATGACGTCGTTGCAATTGCCCATAGTACTCCAGCAATGAGCGACGGCAGTACAATGTATGGTGGAACCACAGGACGATTCTGTCTGGAACTCACTGCCTTATTCTACATCCATCTGAGAGTTTCTTATAAATCCTCCCCTCAGGTTCGTTTCAAAAAGGCGCCAAATGGGAAATGTTGTGCGTATAATTGCAATTTCGCGCTCCACCACTATGATCGAGCTTGAACTAATCATAAATTTCCTTAGCAGTTTTAGATAAAGTCGTAGTGGCCTATTCTGCAAAAATAAACACCCACCTCATATTTTCTTGTTGCCGCTTATTTTTGCTTGGTTAAATTTCTTTATTCTTATTGACTACTATTTTTCAGGTGATCAAGACGAAAATCATTGTCGGAATTCGAAAAAAAAAGACAAGCCGTAAGAAAAACTGGACAGGGAATTGTAAAGCACTCAAATTGCGCGACATTTGAAGCAAAATTACTGGAAATTTACGATTCTTCAGGCTAGAACGATTTCAACTAATCCGCGGAGTTAGATGATAAACAGTAAAGACCGACCTCATCACGGCGTATCCCGTAAATATAGCTGTGGCTGTCAAGAATATTCCAAAGTAATGAGAGAAAACGTAAGGTAATGGGTCCATCGGATGATTAGGGAACTGATCTGGATTTTCTATCATGTAGATAACCGGCACGAAAGTCAGCCCATAAAAAGCACCTGCTGCCACAGCCAGGCATATACCACTGAAAAACAGAAGAATCATGTTTAGGGTTGTAAATGATCAGGTTCGTGAATTTAGAGATATCCTTCTATATATAATCGGCTAAGTGTGTCTGTTGGTGTGTGTGCGTGTGTTTGACCGGAAATTCATAGCCCGCCCAGCAGCT